CCTATATCTGGCTTCACCACCTGCCTGATTTACTTGCGCATTATTACTTTATTTTACATCCTTGAACAGTGTAAAACAGATTTCCTGATTACCCTATTATTTAGATTTAATTACCACCCAGGTAACAAGAAAATTTGCATGATAACTCCTCAAGCGGTAACGTTAATGTCTTTAAAGTCCCTAGCAAAATTAATGTACTAGCTACAGGAACTTCTCAACAAAATACGACAAATGGCTTCGTATTCAGACATTTACTCGGTAATTGGAGCAATTGAGGTGTTTTGATTCTACACCTGCCATTACACAAAGCTTCATTTATGGTTGTACATAATTAAATACACAATTTTAACAGTTTTACGCATACGATCTCCAGCTACCTCTCTTTGTACTTGGTTATGTCCATTGACCATGACAAACTTACATGTTGCTAACTCTTACCAAGGTATATCCAAGATTAAATTATTCATAAACAAAATGTTCCATTCTGTACAAAAACATCTTATCTTTAAGTTAGCTTTTTTCTTATTTACATGTACTTTAAACAGTCTTAATTTCTTAGCTTCAAAGTAAGAGTATCTTGATTGTAACTGTGCATTTTAATTCAAATTTAATTACTTTTTCAAAGTTGGTTAGAATGGTGAAGGATGTGGAGATAACGGACTGTATTCAAGATCAGTAGTTTATAAAACAATACAAAATAGGAGCAGAGCAAACATGGACAACCAAAACATCAAGGGTGGGATCAAGTGCCATGGAGGAGTGAGCATCCCCTTCCGACCGGTCACATCCGCCATGTGCTCCTTGTCATAATTCGGAAATAGCGGAAATCCGTCGTCAATTCAGTGTATAAATAATGGACTAACAATTACTATGAAAAACGTCAGTAAACAATTGACTTAATGATGAATTGCATTTGCTGACAAGGTCATTTTATGGACCATATAACTTACAAAATAATTTAAACGAGACTGCTGATATTCTTTTTTCATCAACATGTTTGTCAATAATTTACTCGTTTTAGAAATTGTTCATACATAGAGCATAGTCTTGCGTATTGAATCAACTGAAATACACAAGCTGCGTTTGCGGGTGATTGAGGTGTATTACTGCATACCGTAAATCTGGAAATTTTTACGTCGATTTTATTTTGGAAATTCGGGTCAAAATGGTGTTGATTAATTTTTACGTTTCAAAATTTTGCGAATTACCACTGCTCTGTTTACATTTTCTAATTAATAATTTATTTTTAAGAAAAATATTTTTGCGAATGCATTGAACTCGCAAATTTTCTAAAAATTTATCTACAGCAAAAATTTCCAGATTTACGGTAGGTAAGGGGAGTTGACGATAGAAAATTTATAGTCATCGAGTTTATCACAGAGCTTGGTTGTTAGATAACCATTATCGTCTTCAAGTAAAATATCCTAATATGAAATAGATGTGTCAGACTCTGTGCTATCTGTAATCTCAAGCTCACATGGATATAACTTATCGACATAATAATTGAAATTACAATTGTTAATACACTATACGTCGTCCATATATTAAAAGTCAAGTTGAAGGCCACAGCAAGTGTTTTGAATACAAAATAGGTCTGCTAATAAAAGGATGCAGTTGGTACCCTTAGTAATTCCAATAGTTTTTTGGAAGACATGAACCCTAAAAACACCATAGATATTGTACCCAACATTGTGTGAAAAGTAAGAACTTTTTCTTACGTAAAATTGTGTCTAGACCAGCTAAGGGTGAAATATAATTTAATTTGTTCGCCAAAAACCTAACCAATGAAAAGCAATAGAAGAGGGGAAGGATGGACAAACCAAGTTTTAGGAGGCAAAAATTTAAAATAACACAGAAAAGCTTTGAATTGCATCCTTTTAAGTATTGGGAAATACTTGAAGTAACAAGGTTTTCCCAGTAATTTTGTTTCGGTCGTAAATCGTTGACTATCAAATTTAATATCCGCATTGTTGTTCTCTGGGGGAAGGACCTCTGTTCATGAAATAAAATACAGTAAAATTACATACACATGTATCGCGTTTACGACCATTAAAGAAACAATGGAAAAATACTGTACGAGTTGAATGTACCGTATGCAGAATATTTTTTAAGGATTTAAGTTTACCATTATTGGCGAGGGTGCTTAGATCGCTAAAATTTGTTTGCGTTTTATTTGAAATATCTTCTTTAGTGAGCATTTTAAAATCGCTAAAATTACAATTCGCTGAAAGTAAAATACCAAATTTTACGAACACATCACTAAAAGTTCTACATTTACCATATTCTTTAGTTTAAACTTATAATTGTAAGTCAATGAATATGAAGATTACATTAATAACAACAGTGACAAAAATGGCGCTAAATAAAGGCAAATACCGACTCGGAGTACTTTCGTTCTTGCTTCCTTGAATTTAGGTAGTGCTTTCTGAGAATCAGCTTGGTATTTGTTCGATTTATTTGTGTAATGCAACGCCCGTACTCAATGGCTCCCAATTTAATACAAATATCTAATATAGTATGCCATGTAGATTCTTCCAATGAGAGCAAATCGGATTTTTGTGATTTTTTTTCTTTTTAAACTATGAAATTAATGCAAACCTTCTGTAAATTAAACGATTGGTTATACATATAGCAATATGACTACGCATTACAAGGACATATGATGAAAATGCATGTTTTAACAGGAAATTAAACATGTCCTGACATTCTTCCACGAACAATTTACCTTAACAGCAGTGGGAACTCATCAGTTTATTGTAAGACACTGGTGTTTTATTCATTATCAAATGCTTCCTTAAAGATATGTAAAAAAAAAAAGATAGCGTTTCAGAGGTTAAATATTAAATCAAACCCTTGAGACCATGCCTTTTTATGATTTAACAAATAAAAATAACAAATACCCGATAATTCACGAATCCCACCTCTGATGTATTCGCGGTCCGTGTTTGCTCTGCTCCTATTCTGTATTGTTTTATGGGTTTATCGATCTAGAATACTCTTCGTTATCTCCATATGTCTCATTTAAGGTGTTATGTAAATAATTGAATACTAGCCTTATCTTTTTTCAAGATAACTTCAGTTTTTTATCTAATTGTCAAAAATTCAAACGAAAAACAAAAAAGTAAGTGCATATTGCTATTTAGTTTGGCGTTGTAGCCAATGCAAACTTGAAAACGAAATTGTCAAATGCAAGATATTTAAGAAAAAAAATTATAATATCGAATTGACCGTAAACTTTTAAATTACTTTGTTACATGAATATTTCCCTTGGTTTCATTTGGTTTTATTTTTCCATGTAACCATAATAAGCAGTATTTCTAGCTGTTATGTAAATTTAATCTGAAAACCGCAAACAACTATCGTCACATTACTCTAATTAAAAAAAAAAACTATTTAATGGAATTCCTATCGATTATAAGTAATAAGTAATGAGCAGAAATAAATTCTTGGAGGAGGAGGATGAACACGAGCCTAGCAAAAGTTTTGAAAAAAAAATAACTAAAAAACTATTATCGGAATTCATCGATATCGATTGAAAGATTGATTTCTCTTTTATTACTCTCAGTTCCGCTCCTAGACCATAACCTTAGTTGCCCATGTTTTATTTCTCTTAACTGATTAATTATCGACAAGTTACATATGTCTGCGAAAAAGAACAAAGTAATTTACAGCGATTAAAACAAATTTCGAGATTAAATCCCTCAGCTTGGAGCGCTCTTTTCTTGGAGTTTAGAGTTTTGATTCCGTATTCTAAACCATGCAGGTAAGATACTTATAAGAAAAAATATTTTATCAATTAACCCACAAATTTACTAATGGAAATAAAAGCATTAAATGTATTATTTTGGTATTTAATATTTCATAATAGTTTGCTTGTTAAATGACACGATTAAATGTTCAATATTGTCAAGTCAGTGACTAATTAAACAAAATGTATGCTCAACTAGCTGATGATCAGGTCTTCCTGTTTAATTGCAAAACTAATATAAAGCTTGTATATACAAGTATTGGAGTAAAAGACAACGAAAATACATTGAAATATCTGACTCTATAGGTTTTTCTCTCACAAAAATAAATTACTGAGAGATGGTTCAGATCTCTCAGTAAACCTCATTGTGTAATTCAAAAAAGATAAAAACTGTAAAATGAATCAATCATTTTTGCCCTTATCTTATTAAGCCAAATCACTGCATTATAAGCAAATCAATATTTTTATTTCAATTTTCCATTTGCATTCAAGGAAGGAGGTGGGGGTTTAAGGAAATAAAACAGGTATGCCATTTTTTTTTTCAGTTAGCAAATCCACTAGTTGAACTGAAAAGCAGGGGCAACATTACTATCCAAAGCCTTAACGGTAAAATCTTTCTTAAACTTTTATATATTTCTTTGAATATATAAATAATATAAGTAAAAGTCCATTAAACATTTATTATCTGTTCAAAAATCTCATTTTAAACAAATGTCCACTCTTTTGTTATGGGTTTTCAACTTTGTCGATTCACGATTTAGTATGATATATATCATTTGCCCTTGCGGAGTTGTCGTTTGTTACCCCTTCGGTGAATGTATAAGCAGATGGCAGAGGTTAGAGTGGCATAATACAAGAAAAGACGTGTGTCAACTTTGAATGGAATTCGTAGAGAACACTGTTCGGATGAAAAGAAGACATATGTTTAATACATGTATAACAGATAAACATTTTTATGTCCGCTATCAAATAGCAGCTGAATACCTTCTGTTATAATTTGCATAATTTAGAGGAATTGAATGACTCTATGGATAATAAAATTTCCTATAGCTTCTCCGCTATGCTTTAAAAAGTTGTTCGATTGATTGTATGTTGTTTTACGTCCAAGTCGAGAATTTTTCACTTATATAGAGATGTCATCATATGCGGTTGAAGGGCTTCAAATTTCGACCTTTAATCGACACTCAGGGTCATTGAGCCGTGAGGAATCTTTATCGTGCCAACGCCTGCTGTGTCACGGTATCTTGGTTCTAAGGTCTTATTCGAAGGACCAGCTACTTTCACATAAAGTGCCGAGCGCATGACGAGGGAACAGTGCTACCCATTTCTATCAATTTAGATCAGCCGATCTTGAGGCGAAAGCTATACCGTCTAAGCTACAGTGAACGGTACGAGTTGTTCGAGAAAAATAATTTGCAATTGGATTGTGGCTGTGTTTTATGTTCTTTTACCCACCTTTTTTGATAGCAGGCAGCAATGTAACACATTTATTTTCATGTATGTTTAGAACTTTTTATGTTTAATAGGGGGTCAACTGAAGATATATAATATGTATACTATACATGACAATGTTTTTCCAGGTTTTGATTTCTTAATTAGTCTGCTGGTTGATCCCCCTTTTTTCTATTGTATATCATTTACAATGACATTATGGTGCTGGGGGTCAGATTGTGCAATATTGTGATAAAGATATGTAATATTTTATATTTAAGTCCCTTTTCCTGACCCCCTTTCTTGTATTGTAAATATGTTTTACTACTTTTACGTCATTTACTTCAATAAATGACATTTTTCACTTCAATGATGTTGTTTATTTTTGCCTGCTTTAGCCAAAAAACAAGCTCAGTTGTCTGGCAGGAGAACTAAGGAACATAAATAAGTTATTATTGTAAATAATGACCTTTATGTGACATGTTCTTGTATATTTCTTTATATTAAATTATTGTATAACAATGTCTCTTTTGTAATAGACTTATGCAATGTGTCATCCCGGCTTTACTTATGTAACTTGATTTACCCCTTTCCGTATTGTTTTCAACCAATCAGCAAAGCGCTTTGCTATCACGTGTCCATTGTTTATCTTTTTGCCAGAAGAGAAAGTCACGTCATTTGTACTGCTCAATTTTTCGTACCCACCATCCATCCCCTTCTTCCTCCATGTGTTTTATGTTCTTTTACCCACCTTTTTTGATAGCAGGCAGCAATGTAACACATTTATTTTCATGTATGTTTAGAACTTTTTATGTTTAATAGGGGGTCAACTGAAGATATATAATATGTATACTATACATGACAATGTTTTTCCAGGTTTTGATTTCTTAATTAGTCTGCTGGTTGATCCCCCTTTTTTCTATTGTATATCATTTACAATGACATTATGGTGCTGGGGGTCAGATTGTGCAATATTGTGATAAAGATGTGTAATATTTTATGTTTAAGTCCCTTACCTGACCCCCTTTCTTGTATTGTAAATATGTTTTACTACCTTTACGTCATTTACTTCAATAAATGACATTTTTCACTTCAATTATGTTGTTTATTTTTGCCTGCTTTAGCCAAAAAACAAGCTCAGTTGTCTGGCAGGAGAACTAAGGAACATAAATGCAAACATCTACCAGCCTACGATTATATATTTTTATAGTTATATACATGTATGGTGTAACTGAGCTAAATATTTTTAAAAAAATAACAAGTTTGAGAGTTGATGAGCATACAGTTTTATTTGTTATTTACGATCAAATGAAGAGAAAATCATCGATTCTTTTCTTGAATAACATCACTTTTCGTTAGTTAAATTGATTTTAAACTGTGTCATATATTTGAATTCAGGGTAGGAAATAAATCAGTTATTATTTTAAATCTTGATATCTATGAAACGTGCTTGATTTATAGAATTGTGCAATTTACAGGAAAGTCCTATCTTTATACAAAGTATCAAAACAAATAGAAATATCTTTTTTTTTTATTTTAGTTAGTCTGAACTGATCAAAATACGCCATATGACTTTAAATCGGACAGTTCTTGTACAAAATAAATACAATTCTCAATAAATTCCTATACAATTTTATTTACTTTTCTATCATTGATTAAAGAAAATGAAATAAAATGACGTCTTGTCAACTTTTTACTATTTTAGTTTTTGGACAGGCCTGTTTTTGATGTTTAACCGTTCAATCTAAGCCAAGGTACATGTACATCGTGGTTCATGAACAATGCGCGGTTAATGAATCGTAAGGTACTTTTGAATTTGATCTTCGATGTTCATCTCTGATTAAAATCAAGAAAGGAACTAAAATAGTGTATATATGATATAAAAAAGAATATTTATGACATTTTGAATATAAAGATTATTTAGTAAAATGTATTGATAATACAGAAATCAATATGTATACTATCTAAATTTCATAAATACCTAAGACTTTTAAAATCATAGACGGTTCAAGGTCATTTGAAAACCAATATCTAATATGTCCCCGATAGACATAAATGATAGCCAAAAACGTCATTTAATGAAAGCAAATGTGTCTTATATAATTGTATAGGAATACTCTCCCACTCCAAATGTAGAGCTTTGGTCAGCTGTTGCAGAGTGTGGGGATGCGATTGTCTTTGGCAAATCATGACAATCCAGTTTCTTCTATGCTACTCCACTGGGTTTGAATCTGGCGATTTTGATGCGTAAGGTAGAAACATGTTGTTATTGCTTTGCAAGAATGTGATAATCAAACAAGCCGTATGTGGCTGTGTATTGTCAGATTAAAATACGGCTCAAGGATGCTGCAAACTTGAAATTACATCTGCAGGTAGTCTATCGTTAGAGTACCTTTCTCTATCAACGCCATTTGAATATGAACCACATCATTCTTACTTTAATGTAATACCATTTTCCATATCATACATGTAACACTCCCACCACAAAATCTTTCAGTGTCCTAGAGGCAGTTTTCTGTATAACGTTCATTACGAAGTCTTAGCACTCGTAAATTATAACAGACTTTCTGATAAACATTCTGGACTAGTTGCTAAACCAAAATGTTCAGCAGTATTGCTGTGGCCATATTCTGTTGATGTGAGATCTTTAAAGACGATATGTGGGGTGTTGTGGGGTCAGAACAAGGGATGAATAATCCTCTTGACATAATTACATCATTCTATAGTCATCTGCAAACGGTCTTGCTAGATGTTCTGTCCAGTTCAGGAATGGCAAATGCTGTAGATGACGTAATTGTGAACCATTCATGAAATTTACGTAATCCTCTAGATTGATCCTGTACTGCTGATGTCACACGTGACTGTCGTATTTTTGCAAAAGTCGGGTGTTCTATGCTAATGGTACGTTTTATAAGTTAGATATGGTGCTGTGCGTAACACAAAAATCTTTTGCAATCATAGCCAATCTGATTAAAATCAGATCCTTTGATCCGCTCACATAGATCGCTACACAAGGATCTGAAGAAACCCCATTCAGGGTCATCTCCTGGTGACCTTTGAATTATCCAATCAAATGTTTACTTTGGAGAATTGGAAAGTATCTCGGAATTCAGTTACAAAGGGGAAAGGCCCGATGATACACGAATGGAAAAATCGTGACCTAGTTTCTGTAGCCTATCAAGAGAAGGACTACAGTCTTTTCTGTACAGTAATATAATAAGTACTTGCTTTTGTCTTGTTTTTCAGCTCTTTGTTTTGTACGAAACGACAAGATCTTCTCCGCAGCTACTTTCACTTCTAATTTCGTTTTCCCGAATGTCGCTTAAGTACGACCTCTCTGATTGGTCAAAATTTTCATGAATATTTTTATTAGAAATGTCACCTGGAGATGACCCTGAATGGGGTTTCCTCAGATCCTTGTGTAGCGATCTATGTGAGCGGATCAAAGAATCTCATTTTAATCAGATTGCAATCATAGGCTGTGCTACACCTGCTTCAAGTCGCCTATTTTCCTTTTCGTGCTATGTAACAGCTTTTTAGATAGGTCAGCTTTCAGATAAAGACAGATTCAAATTATCCAGAGACCTGCTTTTGATAGACCATCTGTGCCTGAAAGAATTATATAAAAATCAAACAAATGAAAATTGAGATAAATTTAGTTTTGGAAATTTGCAAAACAAAGTTTTCTTTGTCTATGAGGTTTGTAGAATAGCTGAAAATTTAACAATTGCATTAATAGATAACGCATTTTACTCAAATCATATCATAAATCCATTTAGAAAAAAAAGTTGTATGATAAAACTTTCTTACATTTTTCAGGTTAATTTCCTACCATGTATGAAAAAACTTTCTTACATTTTTCAGGTTAATTTCCTACATGGTTTTCTTTCTCTTTTTTTTTTTTTTTTTTTTTTTTTTTTTTTGAAGAGTCGTATATATTAATTACTGCTTCGAATAGAATCTTGATATAACAACGTTATTTAATTCGTTTCTAATTTTGCCCTATTTTTCTTTTTAAAATTCTTTCTGTGCTTACCTCACCTGAATAACACACAATTTATGGGCATGATTATGTTATGGAACATAAATTTGTAACCTAGAAGATTGGAGTGCATTTTGTAAATGTCCCAATAATTTTCATTTCTTAAAAGGCGACCCCTTACTGCTAAGGTAAACAAACATTGTTATCCTCCCGTGAGGATTCGTTGGTGTATTTTCATGATTTTAAAGCTCTTTTTAAAATTTTTCTGCAGATGTGTCCTGTTTAAATTACTTGCTTTGAATAATTCAATGGCACTTCAATGACGTGATCAAGTCATCAAAATTTTATTTTAAAAAAAATCAATTGCCACGGAAGTTTGCTGAACAAAGATTAAAGTGAATATCTTTGGAGCTGAGAGTTTCAGGATTTAATCGGCTAATTTGTTTATCTGAAGACCAGGTAACGACTTTTATTTAATTCTTTTATGATTTGATTATACTGATTTTTTCTGCTCCCAATAACTTTTCAAACATATCAACTTAATAAAATTCTTATCTTTACGTGCAACAAGAATTATCAATTACCCTCCCCCAAACCCAAAAAATAAGCTGTGAAAATGCTTGACCTTTTTTAGTCTTTTTCGTTGCTACAGGTATTTTCTAATTTTAGCCTTATAACCGAATACTGTTATCTTCTTTTTAAAATGAGACGGGCGAATTTTAAGGGGTTTACTAACAAATAAATTGATTTTAAAGGACAAGATATAAGTCACAGGACAGTAAAACAAGAGTTCCATAAGGCATATCGCTCACCTGAGCATTGTGGCTAGGAAAACAAACAAAGATCAAACCAAATTTCAAATGCTTAAAAGCCTAAGTGCTCCCGATCATTAATGTACCACTGAAAGGTAGGTACTTATTTGAATTAATACATGTAACTTGAATCTACACTAAAAATGCACACAAATGTCTTTGAAATACTTTGGCTTTTTTTTCCCTATAAGATTGAACTCAATTTGTCCCCTCCTTACTCACCGGGGGTCATGCTTTTAACAAACTTGACAACCTTAAAATGTTTCCTCATAAATATCATTGTTCTTGATAAAAAGATTTTTGAAGATTTTTCTATATATGAATATTTGGATTGTCCTTTGTGGCCCCAGCCTACCACCGGGGGTTATGATGTCAACAGACTAGAATCTACCATACCTAAGAAATCGTCCGATCATGACTTTTTTGTTCACCAGAGGAAGATGTTTAAAGATTTTTCCTACATGTAGAGATAGATAGACGAACAGACAGGAGGACAGACGGACAACAGACAAAATGTTATCAGAAAAGTTAACTTTGGCAATAGTAATTGTTACATATGATACTATGACAAATTTAAAAGACTGTATTCAAAGATAACATTTTTAGGTATATCAATAATAAAAGTTATTAACCAATATGCTGTAGTAAAATTATATAACGATACAAATCTTAGAACAACATTAATTTATTTCAATAGCATCTTTATTAACGCTCTATATCTCATAATCAGTTATTTCCTTTTCCGTCATCCATAAAAGGCCAGAATGCGCAAAATAACAGGTCTTGTTATTTTAAACATTATTTTATATCTGACCTTGCATTTTAATTTGATTTCGTTTTGTCGTGTCTTTTAGAGTATTTGGACTTAAATTGGGTATTGGGTCAAATGTCATTTCAACGCGATATCTCGAGAAGCTTTCGAGGATTTGCTTCCTCAATGACATTTTATACCATAACTTCCAAAAGCCCTGTCCGCCACTCTTAACCCCCCTCCTTTTGTTTGACTCCTCCTCTCTACATCAGCATACACTTATTCTCCCTAAAGCAGGGGACATATACTTTTTTCTACATTAGCTTGTTTTCATTGACAGCATGCCAAAAAAATCTTTTTTTATTCATTTTTACAGAGTATTTCTGAATTTTCAAGGTTGATTTTTTTCCGTTATCAAAATGAATTGGACTGGGGTGAGAGATGTTTTTTTGCTTGTGCACTGTTGTTATCTCTCTCTTTAACTCAATACATAAATTCATTTGCTTTCTCCAGCACCATTTTTAGAAAAGATATTTTCTAGAGACTGGATATCAATGCTGATACATATATCGTAAAGAAATAGTTTATGGTTAGAAAGCTTTCATAACGTAGTCAACACACAGTCTTTGAAAATTGCAGCTTATATGATTAGCCCTTATAGACGTTTAAGTGCACATGAGCCGAAGGCTAAAGTGAGTTTTTTTTATTAAAGTTTGTGCGAGGGTCATTCAGTAAGAAATGCAATTTATACAACATGTATATTATCATAAATGTTGAGGCATTTGATTTCTGAAGAAACATTTGACAGCAAAATCTGCTTAGTACTCAAGGTTACCGTATATTTGAAAAAATGAGTAAAAACGAGAGTGTCAAGAATGTCTAAACAATAATTTAAAAAAAAAAAAAGAATTATAGTCATTCACATTCGTTTGGAATTTAAGAAGATAGTGAAACATGATTCCCATGCTTTGAACCCTCAAAACACATTTACAATAAGAAGAGCAAAGAATTGATAAAACACAAAAAGTTTCATATGCCTTTTCTTAAATTAGCGATCTGGTTGATCAAATTCTTATTCAACTACTCAAAAATTGAACTGCCTCAAAGAATTCATTGAGGCAGTTCAATTTTTGTGTAGTCTAGAAAGCAAATTTCTGTAAAACAAAAAAAACAAACAAACAAAATGTTTATGAGAGGATGGAACCCGAATCGGGAACCTATATTAAATTTCTTCATTACAGCGTCCAAACCAACACGCCATAAAGAGTAAAGGAGTTTGGGGGATAAACAGAAAGTTAATGTTTTCACACAACAACAATATTCGCCAGATCGTTCACCCTTTGACTTGTTTCATTTTCCAAACTTGAAAAAAAAAACCTTTCAGAAAGCAGAGGCAAGTCCAGGAATCATAGGATCTGCCATATTTCAGTAAACGAAGGGATATACTAAAAAATGTGTTCTAAAAACAATCGGGAATGAAATAAAAATGTTACGAATGATTTTGGCGACAAAGACTTAAAACAACCAATATACTGTTTAAAGAAAAATGACAAATATTTCTGATGATGTTTGACTGCCTTAAGACACATACCAAATTGATAAGCATCATTTTAGTCAAAATTTAATTTAAAAAATTAATTTAAAAAATGCTGAATCAAAGGAAATGGGGTCTTTTTACATGAAAAAGAGAGGCAAGGGCTCAAAACATGTACTATTAGTTTTCGTTTATTTAAAGAGGTCCATTATAATTAGCACATGTACATACTGTAAAAGTACTTTTTTCCGACGTGGTATTAATTTACGCTATGTACGCGGTCACAAATTCCGCGGAAATTTGTCTAAGCGCACTTAATATAAATGTAAAGCATAAAGTGACAGTTTAGAAAATCCGCGTAATTATCTACCAGCGGATTAAACAGAAATTTAGAATCCGCGGAATTATGACCCCTTGGAAAAAAGTACGTCTACAGTACATTCAAATAAAGAACTAGCAATGGTAACTGTTTTTGAAACGCATCAAGTACAGTGAAAAAAAGATTCCCAGCAACGATAGTCCAAATTTCGGAGACCAGTGTATTTTTCCTCTGATATACAACGCGGTTGTATAAACTCTTAGAAAATTAAATAGAATATTAAAGAAAAGAAAGTAAACAAAACCTTTCCATTGCTCAGAGCACATGCAAACAATCACAGGAAGATTTACATTGTCAGATATGTCATGGGAAAGATATAAATCAGACTGGTGCTTTTTTGGGCATTCCTGAAGATGAATACAATGAGGATTTCTGTTCATGGATATTAAGACATACATGTACATGTATATCATATACCTAGAAGTGTATCAGCTCTGATACGGGCGTTTTGGACTAGGCGAGACAGCACCTAGGAACTAGGGCTGTCTCGCCCTCAGGGCTGAGATATCTCTTTCTCGGCCCGTCGTCAAGGGATGCCTCACCCTCAAATTTCAAATCATTATTTCTGTTTAATTTGTGTGAATTAAGAGTAAAATTCATATTGAAGTATTAAAAAAAAAATTGAAAATCGGAAATTTAACCAGAATCTTTAAAAAATATTTAATTATGTTAGAATTTTGAGAAAATTGTTTTTTAAAAAGTACGGCAAATGATAGCACTTGTGACGTAAGAGAGGTAATTCTTGTTTACTACTAGGTCAGCAACAAATCATGTTTTGAAAATATGGACGTTTATTTGCTTTGACAGTAAGACAATACAAATTTTTCATGTAATATGCCATTTTTAATTTATTTTATATATCGTAAACAAAACAAACAGTTACTATAAATCTCAAATTTACAAAATGTAACGATTCGTTGAAGAAGTGGTAACCCCGGTTCGATCCAAAGTGAAAGTAGAATATTTTTTAAGATTCGACCTTTTAAAATCTTTGTTATCTAATGTACTTCGAAATGAAATGTTTCAAAACACCAGGACTATTCTTTTTAATGACTAGACGAAGTAAATCTTTCTATAATTATATCGTAACAAAATTTGCAGTAAAAATAAAATTCTCTAATATATTTTATGGATTTGCACTATTCGGCTTAGAGAGATAGCAGATACGAGCGCTGAGGATAAAATAAATTTACTTATTGGTATATGAAAAGATGGATTTGGTTAAAAGGAATTAAAGATGCAGACCGATGGGAGCTTAACTTTTAATCTGGATAGTTCCCAGAGATAAATCATTTAGCCGGACAAAGATAACGAACGCGAGCTCTAAGGATAAAAGTAATTAAAGAAATATTAAAATATGCAGGACATGTACGGGAGTATAAATGTAGCTCAGTGGGACAATTCGGCAGTGGAAAGCTGAAATTTGTCTCTTTCTGGTTGCATTTATACAGGTAAGATTATTTCGTAGACTTGCGCGCGTTATGGTAAACATAATTAAATTTTCACATGGCTTATTTTATTTACAAGTTAAACTTTTTATATTATAAGTAGTTATATTTCTAATAAGGTTAAGTATATTTTGTAAAAATATTTATTGAAGGTTTTCCCTGGCCCTTAAAACCTCTCACATGCGGAAAAGCGAGGAACGATCCCGGGAGTTTATAACCAAATCCAGTAACCAGACAAATAATATAGAAAACCCAAAAACAAATTTACAAAACAAATAGAAATCCGAAAAACAAAAATTCCCCCAATAAGAACATTTTAATTTTTACGAAAATTATATGATTATTCGCCGTCAAGCAACATCTCCAGGAACATCGAAATAAAGAAAGATAACTTTAATTTTGTTACGTCAAAATTATATAAACCTCTTGATTGAAAAATTTCTAAATATTTGTTCTTTCCTTTGGTTGGCACGATAAAGAACCCACCGGGCTTGGCCCGATACCAGCCGCTCGGGCTGATACCAGGGCCGAGATCAAAAGAGCAGTGTGATATTCTATATATATCTTATAATCCCTATTAACCGCTCTTGTCACTTTAAGCGCCCCTCTAGGGTTTTTTTAATTGTCTGGAAATAAGGGCAAACTATATGTTGATTAAAATCATTTAGAATCTTATCAAAAATCTGCCAAAATTTAAAGAAATTGAAAATGAAACTTATCTATTATCCAATTTTTCAGTGGAAAATGAATCATTTAGCATAATTTGGGTGGATTATCTTCATTTAAGTAAAGTTAGTTATTGATTTAGTGGTTTTATTTGAATTTCTTTTTCAAATATTAGAAAGAGAATGCCAAAATAACCGCCCCTTTTTGCAATTTCCTAACGGTCACGGAAGAGCGTTTGCTTCGTGATCGGGAGGCCCGCGTTCGATTCTCGTTCGCGCCGCTGAGTCAAACCTAAGACGTAATCATAGGTAACGACTGTTCCTTCGCCAAGCGCTCGGCACTTAAAGTGAAAGTCACGGTTCTTTCGGATATAACCTTAAACACGCAGTTCCCTTGTAACGTCTCCATATCACTGAAGACCTTAAACAACATACAATCAATCAGTCGCAATTTCCTAAGCTCCCGGGCGGTTAATAGGGATTATACGGTAGATGATCTCCTATGATTTGTAGTAGCTATAGGGTTTGATTTACATTGAACAAATTGTTTGTTTTATCTCCGAACCTTGGCTTTTACATTGTTATATATGAAACATATGGAGATAACGAACAGTATTCAAGATCAGAAGTACATAAAACAATACAAAATAGGAGTGGAGCAAACACGGTCCTTCAAAATATAGGTGGAATCAGGTGTCATGGAGGAGTGAGCATCCCCTGCCGACCAGTCACACACAGGACTCCATTTTATATTACTTCATCAGGCTAACGCAAAAATCATTGTGATATCATGACTGCACCTAATTAACTGTGAGATATGATAAAAACTCCAGTGAGTCATATTCATGGATAACATGGTAAACATGGGATAAAAGACAATTATTAAGGGTAACAGGGAATGCCTTGACGGATAGAAACTATTAAGAATATGCATTAAGTGTACGTACTCTTTTTATTTTTAGATGACTTGTTGCATTATTTATCAAACGATCATCGTACGTTGTCTGTCGCCGTTGTTGTCTTATACTTTTCACATTTTCATCTTCTCTTCAAGGAGCACTGACCCAATTTTAACAAATCAGGGCACAAATTATATTTAGGTAAAAAGATTCAAGTTTGTTAAAATAAAGCGCCCCGATTTGTCCCTAGCAATGATAATTATAATTATTGAAAATTTTATGTCACCCTTTAAAAATCCTCTTTCTCAAAAAGATTCTTCTTTCAAAAGGCTAGGAAAATGAAACTCATGTAGGTTGAAGCATCATCAGGTACATGTAGCTAGTCTGCAAATTTAATCAAATCATGACCTCTGGGGTAGGGTTTGGAATACAAAAACACAGGAATATATAAGAAACATCTTTCAAAAACCTTCTCAAGAACGGAAGGCTATGATTGGTCATCGATATATGGAACATACTCAGGTATTGTATATATCCGGGAAGGGATGGGGGCAAGGGTAGGGCTATTATGATCAAAGTTATACATAGGAAAACGTAGAGTATATCTTTAAAAAACCTTTTTAAGAACAGCAAAGCTGCATTCGGTCATATTTATGCAGAAGTTTCCTCAGGTTGTTTAGATTCAAGTTTCTTTAAATCATGAACCCAGAGGTAGAGTGGGACCACAAATGATTGGAATGGGACCACAATGGTTGATCAGTTCAGTTTGATATTATAAAAATCTTTAAAATTGTTCAGAAAAACAACGAAGCAAAGATTGGTCAAATATATATAAAAACAACAAATTGATATGGCTCAAACCATGACCAACCGGGAAAATAGAGGATCCATTAAAGGGGGTTCACAGTTATACAAAGGATTATCCTTTTTCCTTGAGGAAGTGCTCAGTTGAGCGATGTTGCCCTTCGGCATCTTCTTGTGTGTGTTTTCTTTTTTCTTTTCTTTTCTTTTTATTCTTGCTTTAGCCACTCTTAAGTTCAATTGGCTTTGGGAACCTATGCAGAAAAGTACTTTCTTTGTGCTCTTGCAAATTATTTAGCTATTAGGTGAGCAGCAAATTAAAAGTTTTTGTTTTTTTTTTTTGTAAAATATCAAATGAATTTGTTTGCACTGTACTATTAACACAAAAAAATTGTTATACACTTGCTTCATTGAGCTTCATGTAGCTTTTAGAATTTCATTGGTCATATTCATCTCTTAATTGTTTTTGTCCTTCGAATAGATTGAATGTGCGGGACATTATTTCTCTAAACTAGCTTCTGAATATAATAATATAACATTTTCTTTTAAGATAACTTACAGTGTATACATAACGCTTTGTTAGTTTGCTTGCTTGCTGCAGGTATTTTTAATGACATTCTTGAAAGGGAAAAACGGGAGTATTTTGATTTTAATATATCATTTCATTAAAAAAAAAATTATTCCTGTAAATGTAATGAGAAAAAGAGATATTTGCAAACTTTGAAATGTTTTTTATCTTTTGTTAGTGTACTTAATACATGTATTTGTGAAGAGTGTAATATTTTCAACTTTTATTTTGCAAAATAATCATTAATAAAAGCAGAGAAAAGTTTAAAAGTGTTTACAAAAATGTATCAGTTCAATTACAGTCATGTTAACTAAAAAAATCTTCACACAATCATGTGATAACATGTCTCAGTTTTACAGACACAATTAAGCTGAATTAATATCTATCAAAACCTAATTATGTTGGAGTATAATTCTTAGACCTTGACTGACGATAACGTATACATGTACTCGACTTCAAATCATGAACCTTAAGATACTTTTCAACAGCAAATAAAAATCGAAATCCAGACCACACAAATTCATATAGCTTATACATAATATTAATTGTCAAGAATTCTGGACTACAATCGCATAAATTAACTTGTTTTGGTGAGTTGTTGCTGACAATGAATCATTAAATCTTTAATGTTTGTTTTTAATGTTCGTGCAGAAAACATAACTTCGCTTGCATGGCACTGTGGTACTGTGTTCTTCTAATGCCGCACAGTAAGGAGTTAATCTTAAGGTCATGGGTTCGAATCTCCTATCCGGGACACGAAAAGCAGTCGTTTAGATGAGACATATAAATGTATGAGGTTACATTTCGCAGTAGGTGCTTAGAGGAGAAAGATCGCTCACTGATTGCTCTGAATGTCAAGTGTAGTTCTACATTAGCAGCTCTTCTTCGGCAAGTGATATCTTCTCCCTGCTTACAAGTCAAAGATTTTCAAGAGGGACGTTAAACAATAAACAAAAGAAAAAACACATCAGGTTATTACAGTCAGTAAGAAAATTTGTTTTTTCTCGAAAAGTCTTTATGTGTAAGGTTTTACAGATGAAATTAATCTGTTGGCGTACTTTGAAAACTTGTTTATGAATTTATATTTTTCTTTATAGATCATAGAATTAAAGATGCTTTTATTGAGTGATCATAACTTTCTTTGCAGACAATAATCAATGTACTTTGGATAATCTGGGAAGGAATAGAAAGTGTGGAGCTTCCGAACAATGCTTGTAGGGAATCTTTAGAAACTATCAAATCTGTGTCAACATGTCCCTCAAATACCCAAGAATACGTGGAAGCAGCTTTGCGAAAAAACTGCACTCAACGCACACAAGACTGCAGGTCCTTCGAATACCACTGTGTTCTGAATGAAAGAATGTCTGGACCCGTGGAAGTGTGTGCTCCTTCTCGCTTTATTCTATGTACGCATTTTGATAACAAAACGGTTTTCAATTCCTTTTTAGTGTGTATGTGTGTCTTTGATACAGTGTATAATCAGACAATTTACATTAATTACGTAGCACATTGTAACCATAATGCCTTTGTTTCATTGTAGCGGGGAAATGCACAGAATTTAATGTTGCACTCCAGAGCATTCGTAAGAGTTACACAGCTGACTGTACAAATTTCAAGAATCCATGTCCCGCATCATACAACTCAACCAGTTCCTACTTGTGTAAATCATACTAAATAATTCATAAATTTAATGATGTACAAGAAACGCACATTTTAATTATTTTTTTTATTTTAATTTATTTGTGATAAGCAGATACAAACACTAATTATTCAAATTATAATTGTTGAATAATTAATACTGTGAAACCTGTAAAATCTGACATGCATGGGAGACAAAGTTTGTGACGAAATAGACAAGGTGTCGGATTGCCAAGTGTTAAACACATGGAAAATAGTAAAATGGAAATTTAACGTCGGATTTCATAGTGTGACGAATTGTACAGAAGTGAAATTAGAGAGTTTTCACTGTAAATGAATGACTTATATGTTTCTCCACTTGGTCTGGTTTTTCAGACTTTGGTTCCTATAATATGATACCAACCTCGGCAACGAGCAGGGTGGAGACAATGACAAGAACCTTTATAAATCACACAGTGACAGAAGATAGTGAAGAACCAGTAGATCAACGGTAAGATATTCATTTTCTATTACATGTAAATATAATATCTATGTTTTATTATTTCCTTTCGAGTAGAAGGATTTTTCAAAATCGTTGGATTATCACTGTTGTTATTGCATGTCTTAGACTTTTAATCTTTTCAGATCTGAAAAAGCACAGGAGGGGGTAATGAAGAGTGATATCATACCCATTTCGCTTATTACAATTTTTACAGTAATAGCAGTGGGGATAGGAATTTTTCTTAGACGATTAAAACAAAAGCAAAACGGTATGTAGATAGAAATGCTTCTTCATAAAACTGCATTTGACTTTTAAAACTACATAAGTGTACATTATTTTTTTCTCAACATTCATAAAACTAAGTATAATTAAGAAATAAAATCTGCGTTTTCGTGAATGATGCAGGAAAACCTCCGACGTCGAGAAATGTTGTATGAAAGATAAAAGCCGAGGCGTTAGCTTTTATGTTCCAAACAAGATTTCGAGACCGAGTAGGTTATCCTGCATCATTCATGACAACAAGGACTTTATTCTCATTCTGCTAAGATAGTTAAAAAATTGTTGATCGTTTCCTCTATAGAGAAATGAATTAGGCACCATGTCTCGATTACTCTGTTCCATTTTACAGCAAACAACCTGTGTATGGAATGCAGGCGATTTGAGCTGTCGTTGCATTAAAAATAGCCTTTGTAAATTACAAATTTGTTCGAAATATTTATTGATTGATTTCAATGAATATACAATAACATCATTATGTTCTTGTTTTACTGCTTTACTGGGACTAATATTGCGTTGTTTAAATGTGTAGGGAGGTCTTTTGGAATAGCCCCGCTTAGCTAAAAAAAAAATCGACATTCATCAGTAACTTTATGCAATTTACAGTGTTCATAATGCAAAAGATGACACATCAATGTGGTCTAAACAAGTATTTCATTCTATAGCTAAACATGCCTTTCAAACAAGGTTTAATACGTGTTTCTGATCTGATAATTTTTTGATGACATTCCTGATTAATTGGAGAATAATGTCCACGGCATTTCTTTGATATCAGCAATAATCGTAGTAGAATAGTTGGTTAAATATTATCTTTTACAAAATATATAAGAAAGATTATGTAACGGGTACAGAAGTGAAAAAATTATTTGTGAAGTACCATTTTCACTATTATGCTTCGGGCGGACCCGAACCTGTATAGTATATTCTTTTACTTTCTACATGAGGGGAATATGCTGGCTTCAATTTCCTATCAGCTACTTACACCTACTGTGAACACTATATTTGATCAGAAAGGTTACCATTATGTACTAGGTACTCTTTATTGAAAATAAGTATGGAAACAAAGATTTTTATTTTCACTTTTTAAAATCACAAAAACTCAGGAGTCATTTTCAATTAAACTTTTTTAAAAGGCACCCATGAATGACTTGCATCTAGTTATTAAACAGCTACATATAATCAAACGAACTGAAGTGTCATCTTTTTAAAAAAAATCAAAAATATCCTGGACTAGAAATGGCAAAACTTTGAATGCATTTCTTTTGTTATATTGATTTAGGCTGCATTAGATTTGTTCATATCTTGGGTTTGGGTGGGAGGGTCGAAGTCATATCAGATTCTTAAGACCTTCAAGATTGAAATATGAGGAAAAAACTGATAGTAATTGATCTCGTAGAAATCTACAGTCAATACAAATCTGTCAATCAGGTAAAGAAAGCCCTAAAGGTTTCATGGTCTTAAACTACAGGGAATCTATTGTTTTTGGGCAGTAACACGTGTCATTCCATTGTACGTTTTCCTTTGAAAAAAAAAACAAAGGCCTTACGATGGGTATGAAACATGCCAGTCAATAAATAATAAGAATATATTTGCAAAAAGAGTCATTCTGTCTAAGATAAAGTTTACGAAACGCATGGAATCTGTTCAAGGAATTTTATCGCTTGATATCTTTTGAAAACCTTTAAAGGAAGATTTTGTTTCTTTGTAAAGAAACATCTGATGATGATGATATTTTTCCTCTTTAGGTACATTTGTGAAATGATGAAATCTATATGTAAGGAATCGCTTATTTGTCAACAACCCTTACTAGTACAGCAATACATGTGTATATCTTCATCACTTGCATACGGGGCAATATATCTCTCCAATGATTCGATACGATAGAGTATGATCAACGTGTGAACAACGCATCCGCGTGGTACAGTGGTTAGAACGTCTGTTCGAGAGTCGCAAAGTAAGGAATTGCCCCTTACATCGCAGATTAAAGTTTCCCAGTTACACATTTCGACCGGACCTTCGGATGAGACCGTATAAACCGAGGTCCCGTGTCGCAGTAATTCCTTGAACCAGGGACCTATATACTAACGGGATAGGAAACTACCGCAGTCTCGCGATATCTCGTAAGTCGCAGGATTTCGTAAGTTAATTTTAATTAATTATATCTCTAAAGCTATCACATATTTGAGATCAAATCATCTAATTATCTGTCAAAAAATCATTCAAGATTTGTTTTTAGCACATATCATACTCCTTAGCTTAATAGTAATTTTGTTTTATGCAAAATCAGCACATGCCCCGATCGGCCATATTTCCGAGAAATCGCAGATTTCGGTGTTTGTTTTCTTTATATTTAAATTATATTATTATTATTCTTTAAAATTTATCAATAAATCAATTCCAATACATAAAAGGAATAAATGATAATAATCAAAAGACACCCTGTTTACTCTGAATAAACGTAAATTGAAAAACGTGTAGTGTTGTGCGTGATGTTTTGGGTAAATAAACATGGCGATGAAGGAGTTGCCTATCCCGTTAGTATATAGGTCCCTGCTTGAACGAAAAAGATCCCTCACTGCTCAATGTACAATTCTTCATTCTTAAGTAAGCTTGAATTTTCAGTTAGGCGTGGAATTCTCGACTTTACTTAATTAGCACCTGAAATTTACACAACTTTCATTCTGTGTTGAAATATACGTACATAGGACAGAAATTCGGGCAAATATTAACTCGTGTATTGAATAACCAATTACATTGTCTCGTCCGGCGAAGAAATGATAAGCCGTATCTTCGCTGTCAACAATAATTTAAAGTTCTTTATGTTATTATTCTTTTTTACAAATGTGAATCTATTTCTCCATTTGACAGACGCTATAACGTAGCGCCGAGAATGTCACACCTTACTGAACACTACTGAAAGTCCAAGCTTAGTTGAGAATTATAAAAACAGTATATTGAACAAAATTTGCAGCTCTGCACCGACAAGTGATGACCTCTCAGGATGAGTGAAAAATTTTTTTTAGAAAACGATAAACAACATAGAAAACAAACATATAGAATTTTTGACAAGGGTGTAAATTAATGACAAACATGTTGATTAGTAAGGAATATCAGCAGTACCTTGAAAAATTGTCATTTCGTAAGTTCTGTGGTCAATAGAGTGGCATTGTAAGCAAACATAAGTTTATCATAAGGGCAAATGCATACTGACGTTTTTCTTACCCATCGTAAGGTCTTTATTTACTCACAGAATTGTCGAATGAATGCACAGCACGGATGTGATCTGTTGGCAGGGAAGCCAAATCTTCATTGGCACCTGAGCCTTCCTATGATGATAAGGAGGCCTGCGTTTGCTCTGCTCTAAGATCGTAGTGTTAAATGGACTTTTGAGCTTGAACCCGTTCAGTATGTCCATATATTTTATTATTATATGGTATGAATGTACAGAAAACCAAAACCATTCTTTAATGAAGTTTTTATTTAATAAGGGAATATAAGAGAAGTTGAGAAGAGAAGGTATTCTGATATACAGGATGAGGATATTTGATAAGAATGGATCGCCTCAGGTCATATGGAAACCTATACGGTATATCTATTAAAAATTAAACCCTTTGTAATTTATATTGTTTCAATGCTTAGATATTTATTTACATGTATATAAGGGATAGGTAATTTGAGCCATCTATACTTTATTGTCAGAGAATATATTGTCAGAGAATATATCAATATACAATTATTTTCCCCTTTTGAGGTCAACATGGTGAAATAAGGACCGAATACCTGGCTCACGAGAGGAGCTTACCTGACCGAAGCTGCATGGTGTCCGAGGTCAGGTTAGCGAGTAAGCCAGGTCCATGTTGAAGTCAAAACGGGTAATAAAATGTTATACTATAACTATTTATTGAAAATTTTTGTGCGTACAGATCTATGTCGGAGAATTCCTTCTCTGACTAGGATTCACTATATTCCTAAAATAAAATTGTTAACGTTTACCTCCTCAAGTCGTGTAAGGTTTTGCATCTGATCATGACTTACTGTATAAAAGAGCCTTTTCTGCATTCCTTTGAACTGAATTGTTCCGATTTTTTTTTTCAATGAGTAAATGATAGAAATGTATCGTACTCTGTATGAGAATGTAAAACAAACAATGCACATTTAAAATAATGTTGTTTTTAATGTTGTGTTTAATGTGATTCTATGCTTTATTTAAATGCACCATTAAAGGAATTTTGATAAAGAGATCATATTTTGGCGGGCAATATAATTACATGTATAATGATCTGGTCATTATATCCTACGTGCACTGATTCCTGTACGTCATTATTGCTGTAAACAGCAATTTTGGGGTCATTATTGAGTTTTAAATCCTTCTTACAAACAAATCAAATTTGAGTACATGTATTATCAACAGAGTATAAATTTAAATATTTAAAGCCTATTGCATGTATCTCATTTAAAGTCACCTAGAACAGTGTATTTGATATCTGTCTTTCTACCTGCAACTTCTTTTCGCATTTGATTTTTTTCTCCTTAGCCACTGGCTAAAGAAAACATTGATATAAAATATAGTGAAGAAAAGAGTATTGATATATTTGTATTATCAAATAAAGACTTCGAGGAATAACGACTGTATGACTGAAAGACATGTTTATACCTTAAATAAAAAAAATTCCTTATTTTTTTTCTTTTTATTCAAATTCCTTTGTCAAAAGAATATGGCCTCATTCGATCAATGGACCTCTTGTTTATCTTTCAGAAAGAGTGGGCAAAGTTGTCAAAATCCAAGAAAAGACTGTTTGGTCTGTGCCTTCATTTTAAGAAATGGAATATGCAATCACGATACGACATCAATTAACAACATTTAAACGTCAATCGAGGATTTCATAAGTTGGACCTGAACGTCTAAACCAGAACATCGCCCATGAAAAGACCAATTAACGAGATGATGTGTCATTTTTTATTCTTCTCGTTTTTCGTAATATTTTATATAAGAAGCAGAAAGATTTGTAAAAATAAATTACAGGTGTAAATAAAAAACCATGGTATTGGTTTGTTTTATCTAGACAAATTAAAAAATATTTTTCAAAATATTCCTTTTTAGGTCAACTGAGTAAACACAGGCGACCTATTAAAAAACAGTTTTCGTCCGTCGTCCGTCGTGTGTAAACATTTGAACATTTTCAACTTCTTCTCTGCAACCGCTTAACCAATTTCAACCAAATTTGGCATAAAGTATCTATGGGGGAAAGGGAACAAAAATTTTGAATTTTATGGCCCCTGCCCCCTGGAGATTGAGGGGTGAGGCCAAAACCACTAAAAATTATGCAATCTTTAAAGATATTTTTTACCCCTGGACATCAAGCAGTCAAACTGTTTGCATGATTGTAATCAGCATTGAGTCCTCTACCAAAATTGTGAAATTCATGGCCCTGATGTCTGGGGTTGTAGTGCTAGGGCGGGGCTATATAGATTATATAGTGAAATTACATTATTTCTTTTTAAATCTTCTCCTCTGCTCCTGGGCATTAAATAAACTAACCATGTACATAGTTATGTTGAATAAGACGGTCTCAACCAAATTTTTGAATTTCATGGCCCCAGGGTCAGCGGTTCTTAGGAGCTGGGGCGGGGCTCTATAGATTATATAGTGAAGATGCATTATTTCTTTGAAAATCTCTTTCTCTTCTCCTGGGTATCTTATAAACAAACCATACACATAATTATGTTGAATAAGGCTGTCTCTTCCAAAATTGTGAATTTCATGGCCCCTGGGTCATGGGTTCTGGTGTTAGGGTGGGGCTGTACATGTATTGATAATATAGTGAAAATACATTAATACTATAAAATTCTTCTTCTCTGCTCCTGGGTATTAAGCAGATAAACTTTCCATATAGCCATGATGAGCAAGGGCCCTTCTTCCAGAATTGTGAATTTCATAGCACCTGGCTCAGGGGTTCTGGTGTTAAGATGGGGCTCTAATGATTATATAATGAAAATGCATGAATTCTTTGAAAATCTTTTCCTTTGCGCCGGGGTATTATGCCAATGATCTAAGAACATATTTATGATGAGGAAAGTTGCTTCTTTATATCAATATCAATTATGATCAATTTTAGGGTCCCAGGGTCAAGGGTGGCGACGGGGGATACATATTCTAAAAATAAGTTAATGCTTTGAAATCTGCTCTTTGGTATTTATCATCTATTTATGATGAAAGTAAATTTATGGTAATATTTCCAGAATTTTTGAAAATGTGACCACAGGGTCAGTGGCTCCTGTGGGGTGGGGTGCACAACTGGTTATAAAGTGGAAAAGCATTTTCACTTTGTTACTTTGTTTTACCTCTGGGTATAAAGTAATCAAAGTAAGCAATTTAAGTGCATAGTTATGATATACAATAGTGCCTCTTTCAAAATTGTAAGTTTCATAGCCTTTGGTTTAAAACACGAAGCAATTCAATTGTTGGAAAGTTATTACATTGTACTTAGATGACTTATGATTTAAGGTCCGTTGGCCTCTTGTTTATTAGATGAAATAGAAAAGGTCATTTGTTCTTACCAAAATGTATGGTCTTTTTATCTGTTACATGTACCCGTAACACTTAAGAGAAACATTGCTTTCTTCTTCTTTTTTTGTACATCGTTGTCCATCGGTCATAAACTCTTGTACAATTTTAACTTCTTTTAAGACGTGTTGATTATGCAATTTCCTGCAAATAGGGAAAAAGACATTTATATAATTGGAAAAGGTAACAATTTTTCAACTAAATTGTCCTTGGTGCCTGAAATGAAACATATGGAAATAACAGACAGTATTCAGGATCAAAAGTCTACAAAAGAAAACATCACACATGTTTACACGCAAAACGAAAACAAAATCATCTTTCTGGATACACAGTTGTCATGATCAATGATCAATGATGATTATACCCGAAATGTAGAATTTTATGACCTCTGAGTCAGGCGTTTATTAATATATAATTAGAGTTAGAGATCTGCTCTTATGACAACTTAATTTCGATGCAGGTTTTTTTTTGGAATCCCTTATTTTCTATCTCCATATATTTAGCAGATAATTCTGACTTTAATAAACAAAGGTGTTTTTGTCATTTTGCTACAAATTGTAATATAGGCACTTGGATCCTAATTTGACATGTATCTCAACATTGATTATAAACATGTACCCTCGAGTGCCCAGTAGTCGTGCTCTTAAGAAAGTTTCAATGCTAAGTACAATTTGGATGAAAATTAAGGTTATTTCATCTGATATTTTAACTTACCGTGTAATTGTTTATTTTTCTTGTTATTAAAAATATTTTGAGCCCTTTATTAAATTTAATATCGGGGCACAGAACATGTAAGGTTTACGTCGGTCATATTTGCTTTGGACCAGTAGTCTTGCGCTCGAATGTAGCAGCAAATATTGGGCCAAGAAAATGAAAACGAAATAAAAACAAATCTCAGGTGACTAAGATTTTATTCCTACATACGAATTTCAGTATAAGGACTGTAGAATTTTTATGAAGTCATCGTTTAAAATTCTTGACAGACAGAAAAAAAATTAAATACCAAGTGATCATAACGTATGATTATACTATTTAGCCATGTGCTCGCCGTATCCATAGGTGGCGCTTCCCTGCAGGTAGAGTTTATATTTAGACACGTTAAAAAGAGTATTAGAAAAATGGCGGCTTTTATTGATGCTTATGTCTATTTGGTTAATTAATAAATGTTTCCCCCGCATATTAAACTTTTTTGTTTTAGATTAGGCACTTTCTTCTCTCTTCCTTGTAAACCAGTTGTTTATGATGTAATATCATAACACGTGACCAACTTTTGACAACAAACAAAATGGTGCACGACTACTGGGCATACACGACTACGGGACCCTTGACAATATCTGTAAACTAAAAATAAATATTTTAATTGATATCTGCACAAGTGTATTCAGCAAATCGTGAAAGTGCATGACCCTCGGGATTAGGGTGATGCCACAATCGCAATAGCAAATCAAAGTTTTACAAAGATACATTGTATATATAGGAAACATTCTCAGAAATATTCTCCTCCAGAACCACTGGGTCAGAAAAACTGAAACTTTAATGTAAGCGTCCTTGGGTAGTGTAAATTCTAAATTTTGCATAAAAATATACAGAAAAAATCTATAAAAGTCTTCTTCCAAAAAACACTCGGTCAGAAAAACTGAAACTTATGTTAAAGCGTCCTGGAGTAGTGTAGATTCTAAATTAAAAAAAAAAATGTGACTGCAAGGGGCAGGGCGGGGCCACAATAAGAACCCAAATAGTTACATATAAATATATATTTAGGAAAATTCTTTAAAAATCATTTCAGGAACTACTGGGCCAGAAAAGTTGAAACGTATGCGAAAGCATCTTAGGGAAGTGTAGATTTTAAATTGTTTTAATTATAAATCATGGGTTTGATTGGGTCACAATAGGTATTACAAGGAGGAAATCTGGTAAAGAACAGCATGGGCAAAGCTACTCAGTTGAGCGATATGGCCCATGGGCCTTTTTTGATACACTTTTTCATCCTTGTAAATGCTAGAAATCTAAAAAGAAAATATTTTAGATTTCCGATAGGTAATAATTACCGAGAGGAAAAACTGTAAATTAATATCAAAGATTTTTTTTTTTTTTTTTTTTTTTTGTGAAAGTGAGCTATGTTTTTAAAAATAATTATCCAAATCAGAATATATGTATTTTTTTTACCTTTGTATAAAATGTGCATGTTGCTTTTTTTATTGCTTTTGTCGAGGACTAGGAACAAAAGTCATATGTCATCATTAATAGACATAGAGTGTACTGCAATAGGCACCACGAGGGTCGTTCAATAAATAATGCAGCGTGTCATCTAAAACTAAGAAACATACGTAATACATATTCTTAAAAGTTTCAATCCCTCGAGGCATTTCCTGTAACCCTTTACGCTTGTATAGTGTCTTTGTATACATGAACAGAAATCCTCAACATACTCATCTTTAGGGATGCCCCAAAGACACTGATGAATATCATTTCCAATGACATATCTGACAGTGTACAACCTCACTTTGATTGTTGTTTTCATGTGTTTTGGGAATGATAAGATCTCACAGTGACTGCGATCATGCTAATATTGGTAGTTAAAAGTTCCTGTACACTTTCTTTTCTTCAAAATCTTATTGAATTCTCTAAGTGTATGCAGCTGCGTTGTAAGGCACAAGACAAATATCCTGGTCATCGAATTTGGGACTTCCTTTGCAGGAAAACTTCAAATTTCCTTTGTGCAATTTAAAGATAAAACTTACCATTGCTAGTCCTTCATTTGCATGTATGTCATGTTTTAATTGACCTCTTTCAACACACAAAAACAAATAAAACATGTTTGGAGTCATTGCTTCTCTTTATCATGTTTAAATGACACCCTTTTCTTTGATTCCACATTTTTTTTTTTGATTTTTGTATCACTAATGTTATTTTACGGCTATAAAAAGTGGATCCATTTTTCGTCATACATTTAGTATATTTATCAGTTCTTCAATTTTGTATAAATATTTGTCTTTAAATAAACCGTTGGCAGATTTAACAAATGTTCTCTAGGGCACTTGTGAGAAAATATGGCACCTTTCTAACTGAAATATTGTTATATGTTTTTCTTTTGTCATAATTCTACAAAATGCAGTAACGATAAAATTTTTAGTATCTTAACAATGTCTTTCTTTGTGAATATTGCATTTTCAAATTTCATGTGGCACATAAAGTCGATATTTTTTGGTGTTCCTCTAAATTTCAGTTTACCACATTGACAGTTATACTTGAACTCTTGTTTTGTTTTTCTTCTGAAATATTGAATCCATTTGAAAAGCACACAGCGTTAAAGATATTTTTTTTTCTATTCATAAAAATCATATCTTAAATTTGAGGTTTGTGGCGATTTATATAAAAAGCGCAATTTTCAAATACCCTCCTGTTTTCATCTTCTTGGCAGAGATCATTTATAAACAGTTTTCAGCTCAGTGAGG